ATTACCCTCTGAGAGAGAAAATTCCTCATCTGTTTTCAATTTGCAACCCCTTATTCTGAGATTATGCCCTTTAGTCCAAGATTCTCCCTCAAAAGTAAACAACCTCCCCACAACTACTATCAAGCCCTCCAAAAACTTGTATGTTTCAATACAGTTACCTCTTCTTTATTCCAACAAGTACAGACCCAATCTTCTCAACATTTCAACAGACAGTTCCTCCATAACCTGGTATCAACCTCAGTGAACCTTCTCTGGACCTCCTCCAATGCCAGGATATCTTTCTGGGGAAAAGGCGTCCTGTGGTCTGACCACTGCCTTGTAAAGTTTAGGCAAAATCTTCCTGCTTTTATATTCAATTCCTTTGAAATAAAGTCCAATATTTATTTGTTTTCCTTACTACATGTTGAACTTAGATGCTAAATTTTTGTGATTCATGGATGAGGAACTCCAAATCCCTCAGTTCTGTAGCTTTCCACAGTCTTTCTCCACGTAAATAATATTTGGATCATCTATTTTTCCTGCCAATGTAGTGGACGGCGAAGAAGGTTACCTTAGAGTACAACCGGACCTTGTTTAGATGGGCCAAGGAGTATCAGATAGAATTTAATTTAGATAAATGTGAGGTGCTGTATTTTGGAAAGGCAAATCAGGGGAGGACTTATACACTTAATGGTAAGGTCCTGGGGAGCATTGCTGAACAGGGACTTTGGAGTGCAGGTTCACAGTTCTTTGAAAGTGAGTCGCAGGTATACAGGGTAGTGAAGAAGGCGTTTAGTATGCTTGCCTTTATTGGTCAGTGCATTGAGTATAGGAGTTCGGAGGTCATGTTGTGGCTGCACAGGACATTAATTAGGCTACTTTTCGAATACTGCATTCAATTCTGGTCTCTCTTCCATAGGTGAAGCTCAGATTTCCCCACATTATTTGCCAAGGTTTTGCCTACTTACCTAACCCATATATCACATTCCATCAAGGGGGCAGGGGTCGGTTAGTTCAGTTGGCTAGTTTGCAATGCAGTGATGCCAAAAGTACAGGTCATACCGGTTAAGGTTACCATGAAGGGTCCCACCTTCTCAACCTTGCCCCTCACCGGAGGCATGGTGACCCTCAGGTTAAACCCAAGTCCTCTATGGTCGTCTGGGATTATATCACATCCGTCAGCTTTCCTAATTACCCCCTGTACCTGTACACTAACTTTTTGTGATCTGTGTACCAGGACACCCAGATCCTTCTGTATCTCAGAATTCTTCAACTTCTCACCCTTTGGAAAATATGCTTATATATTCTTCCAGCAAAATATCCCTTTGTAACCTCCTCACATCCTCTACATAATTTCTGTTTCTACCCATATGTCTGTCGTCAGCAAATATATTGACCATACAGAGCCACAGAATTGTTTCAGTACAGAGAGAGCCATTCAGCCCATTATGCATATTCTTGGTTCCTTTATCCAAGTCATTTATATAAATTGTAAAAATGTAAAGCCTCAGCACTGATATCTGCGGCACATCACTCACAATGCCTTACCAAACAGCAAACTACTCATTAATTCCTAATCACTGTTTCTGGTTAGCCAGTCTCCTGTCCATGCCATAAGTTACCCAGGAGTCATTACTTTTCACAATCATGTTTGATGTGGCACCTTACTGAATGCCTTCTAGAAATCCAAGCGCAGTACATCCATCAGTTCCCAGCATATTACTTTTTTAAGAAACTCCAATAAATTGGATAAATGTGATTTCACTTTCACAAAATCATGCTGACTCTGACTGATTACCTTAAATATTTTAAAGTGCTCTGCTATAAGGTATTTAATAATAGCTTACATTTTCCCTCTGATAAGCCAACTGGCCTGTAGTTTTTTTATTTGTACTCCTTATCTTTTGAATAAATGAGCTACATTTGCTGTCTCCCAATCTAAAAGGACCTTCCACGAATCTTTTTAGAAAATTAGAACCAAGACATCAACTATCTTACTAGCCACTGCTTTTAAGATTCTAGGATGAAGTTCAACAGGACCTGGGGACTTGTTAGTCCACAACTTCAGCCATTTGTTCAGTATCACTTCTCTGATGGTTGCAATTTTCCTGACCTCCCCCTTATATTTCCTAATTTAGAGCTATTTCTGGGATCTTACTTGCATCCTTGATTGTGAATGCAAAATACTAGATACATTAACAGGCATCTATAATTGTCCACTGTGATCCCAGGCTCAATTTCTACAGAAGCAATGATCACTGTCTTAAAACTTTTTAAAGAGGTCTTTTGAACATTGTAACTGCACGTGCATCCACCACTTCCTCTGGCAGTTCATTCCACACACAAACCACTCTGTGTAAAAAAGGTGCCCTTCATGTCCTTTTTAAAATCTTCTCCTCTCACCTTAAAAATATGCCCCCTAGTTTTGAACTCCCCAGTCTAGGGAAAAGACCCTTACTACTCACCTTATCTGTGCCCCTCATATGTTATAAGCCTCTATAAGATCATCCCTCAACCTCCTAAACTCCAGTGAAAAAAGTCCCAGCCTATTGTTATAACTCAAACCCTCCATTCCCGGCAACATCGTGGTAAATCTTTGTGGAACCCTCTCCAATTTAATAATATCCTTCCCATATCAGGGCAATCAGAACTGTACACAGTACTCCAGAAGAGGCTTCACCAACCCTCAGAATACTTTTCCAATCAACTTGTTCAGGGATTTTGTTACACACCTCTGGAGCAGGTGGAGAAAACCAGGCTTTCTGGTTCAGAGATTAGGAAACTATCACTGTACCACAAAACTCTTAATTGCTCAGGAAAGATATTTTCTAATCAAACTGTTCAGTGATGTTATGAAGCAGGTAGGACTTGAGCTCGAGCCTTCTGGCTCAGAGGTACTGACATTAGCACTGCACCACAAAAGCCCTAATTCCTCAGGGTACTGTTGCAGGCCCAAAATTTTCAGCTGCTTCATCTATGAGCTTCCATCCGTTAGAAGATCAAAAGTGTGAACGTCCACCAACGATTGCACAATGTTTAGCATCATTTGTGAACACTCAGGTGCTGTAGCAATCCATGTGAAAATGCAGCAAGACCTGAACAACATCCAAGCTTGCACTGGCAAGTATCAATCATGCCAAACAAGTGCCAGCCAACAATAATCTTCAACAAGAAAGAATCTAACTATTGTCCCTTGACATTTAATGGCATGACCATCAATGATTCCATACCAGCAACACCCTCAGAGTAAGGATTCTCACTGACCAGAGCTGAACTGGACCATCCATAGAAATACTGTGACCGCAACAGCCAGTCAGAGGCTAGGAATAATACAGTTAGTAAAACAATAGTTCACCAAAATAATTCTTGGGATGGAGGGATTATCGTCTCAGCAAGTTTTCAATAGTCTGGGCCTATATTCTTGGAGCTTAATAGAATGAGGGGCATCTCCATTCAAATACAAAATTCTGAGAGAGATTAACAGGGTAGATGCAGAAAAAATGTTTCTCCTGACTAGGGATCAAGAATCGGGGACACAGTCTCAAAATAAGGTTCAGACAATTTAGGACTGCGATCAGGAGGAAATACGTCATTAGGAGGGTGGTGACTCTTTAGGACTCACTGTGTCAGAGGGCTGTGGAGGGTCAGTCGTTGTGTTCATTCTTGGATTGATAGATTGTTACAACTTAAGAACTTAAAAAGGGGCAGGCAAGATATGGTGCTGAAACAGAAGGTCAGTCATAATCGAATTAATAGCAGAGCAGGCTCATGGCTGATTGGACTAACCTTGTTTCTATTCCTCACGTTGTTATAAATTTATGATACATTCCAAGTTGTATCACTTCAAGTTATAATTTTAAGGAACAGATCTGACTTTAAATCAAAAATTATACAAGGGAGAATGGAATACGAGGATATCTTCACAGGTTTGGGTGAAGAAAGTTGGGAGGAGGCTGCTGGAGAATCTGAGATAACAAGGTGTCGAGCTGGATGAACACAGCAGGCGAGGCAGCATCAGAGGAGCAGGAAAGCTGACATGTCGGGTCTGGACCCTTCTTCTGAAGAAGACTTCTTCTTCAGAACATTTCTTCTGAAGAAGGGTCCCGACGCGAAATGTCAGCTTTCCTGCTCCTTTGATGCTGCCTGGCCTGCTGTGTTCATCCAGCTCTACACCTTGTTATCTCAGATTCTCCAGCATCGGCAGGTCCTACTATCTCTGCTGGAACATCTGTTTGTTTGTGCTTTACATTCAAAATTTCAACACAGTCCATAAAATAAAAATACATTTTTCAAACCATCAGAAAGATTAGGTTAACAATTCCTCCAAAAACAGTATAAAATTGTGTCCTGAAGAACAGTCATTGAACTCAAAACATTAACTGTTTTCTCTTCATTGATGCTGCTAGACCTGCTGCGTTTCTCTGGCAATTTTTTTTTGTTTGTACAGTATAAAACAAGTAACCACAGGCACATCTGCTAAATTGTCCAATTAGTGAAGTCTTAAATTAGTACTTGAATATTATTTCCCTAAAATAGAAAAAAAATGTGAAATTATTGCAATTTTGTTATTGAGAATAGCTCCTTTATTCCCAACACATTTTCTGTTCAGTTTTTGAAGTGTTTCTCGTGCTGGGTTGTCCAAAAGACGGGATTTCCTGTAAGCGCTTTTTTTGTAAACCTGTGGTTATTGACAAAGTCGTTGGTGCAGTGAAGGAACAGAGAGGTTAATTGTCTGTTTCCAGTCTTGTGAAAGGGCTGAAGTTGAACGGCCGCTCCCACGGTCACAGGGATAGAGCTGGGAAGTTACTGCACAGAGGGGCAGGCGGTTTACAGTAACTAATGGTGATGACTATGTTGTTGTTGTTGTTGTTGTTGTTGCTGCTGGATTCAGGTCAGCGTCTGCCTCTGGGCACTGACCGGGCCTCAGGGCCTGACTGCCCCCTCAGTCACACTACTCCGTCCCTAAACACACAGAAATAAACAGCCGAGAAATGACACGGCCAATCTCATCAAAACCTCACCTCCGCTCCCTCCTCCGGAGCCCCACTTTAATCCTGGTCAAACCGGCAGAGAAAGGTTTCAGTACCGAGGCCAACAACCTGTGCAGCGCCACTGGAGCCGCCATCACTGAGGAGTGAAGCATCCTGGGAGAGAGCAGCGGCTTCGATCTGCGACTTACACATTTGTCCACAGCAAACAACTACAGCCTGGCACTTTGCAAACTGCACATTGTCAACTTCAACCTCGTAAA